CGTTGACTGATCCACAAGATCGCTCATTATTGATACATATAACAAACAAAAACAAATGTTAGCCTATGGGTTGAAGAGTCAGGCTTTTCATGTGTATAAATACATGTAAAGAAGGAAACAAAGACAGACAAGTAGAATTAAATATGCAATTGATAATCCAGTAAAATAAGTAATGTTTCTAAGTTATAATTGTATTATATTAGACTTAATAAAATGAAGACATTGTAGTAGACATTTTAATAATTATAAACACTTTTTAAAATGCATATATGCAATATCTGTCAAAGTGATATTTTAGAAGTTGTTCTACTGTTCCTCTAATTTCTTTATTCAGCTTAACTACAAGTTGTGTTTTCTTTAAACACATTTAATTGCTTGCCTTCTGGGGCATTAGCTTCTACACCTCCGTAAAAAGAATGAGAAATACATATATACGCTTGTATGGGAATTCATTGAAGTTCTAATATTAATATAATTGGGTTAAAAAGGCATGTTTTAGTGATTTCTTTCAAGCTATGCACCAGAGACCTATTCACAGCCCAAAACAATTTCAGAATCTTGCTTCCAGGGAATAATGCAATATAATCATAAAATTATACTCAAGATGAGATTTAATTATCATTTTCACCTTTATAACACCTTTAGAGAAGTGATACTTAAAATCTTCCTGAGAAAGAATATTGTGTTTAAAGCGATAACATGCAACAATGATATTAAACGGAAGACAAAACGGCCTGTGCATTTTTATTATATCTTAAATTTAATAGCTTTATTAAAAAAAAAAAATACAAGTGAATGTCTTCTGATGGATTTCAGATATTCATTTCAAGCAGGATGAAGTTAAAGTTAAATAACATAAACTGAAATTATACCCTGGGAGATCTTTTCAACTTATAGAGACAATTGAAGATGACAGTTTCTGGTGCAGTTATGCTCTTGCATCATCTGGACACAATGTAAAACTCATGTCATCTGAGTTTATTTAAGCTATAAATCATGACAAGGTGAGCATTAATAATATCCCACAAGAAAACCAGACCTTATTAAAAAAGGAAAGAACCGCAGGCTTGAACACATGGTTCTGATCGTATTTTTGGCTATCACCAAAGCAACAACGGCATCAAACTAATATTCTTCTGCAGTTTCAGTGGCTCATTCCTTGCACTTATGTCTAACTTCTGGTCCACATGGCTCTAGATCACATAGATGAAAATTATGTCATATGATTTCTTCCACATCTAATAAACATCTTCTTTCTGATATGCCAGCCACCATAACCCCTACCTTACCTGTATAATAGTGTCTAATTTGTTGTGATTTTTTTTCCCCCTTACATTACAACATGCAACAATACCAATATGTCCCATCTACAATAATGCATTCATTAAAATATAAATCCCTTTCCTTGGGAAAGATTGATATTAAAAGAACTGGTTATTTATAGACTGAAGTTTACGATCTGAATAAAAAGGAAAAAACTTGAAAAAAGTAACCCCCATATATTTATTTACAGTATTTAACTCCTTCTTTGCGAACATGACCACAAACCTGAGCGCGTACCATTTTTTTACAGTTACTTTTTTTTTTTATCTTTCGTGTGTTGAAGTAAAAAATATATATAAACTAAATAAAAACAGCAGTGAAATAGGAAACAATGAAAAGTTGAAGGATCAAATTATACAGAAAGTATAGACCAGGTGACAAGAATATGAAATTTATGCACAGTCAGTGTTGTAGTTTTTTGTAAATACTATTGAGTGACAGTGAACATATCAGTCTTAAGGCCAAATAACGATTTCAATAATGGATTGGTAACAGTAACAAAGTATTTATCATTCAGAATAATTTAGGTTAAGAAATTAATTTAAAGGAGAATGGTAGAAGTAACCCTGTAAAAGAAGAGCGGTCAATTTACCAGATTTTGGATAAACTAGGCGTTATATTTACTTATAGGCCTCACTGTTAGAATACAGCCACTGGATTCTAGCATAATGAATGGAAAAATCCCAATGGACTCAGAAGTCATTGTAAGTTGAGCAGAGTAGACAAGAACAAACATTTAGTATAATAGGGTGGTTTCAAGAATATTGTTATATTAAAGATTCATATAAAACAACTTAAACAAAAGAACACATTGCACTGACATGCAAATGTTATATTATGTGCATTACATATTTTACGTATGTGCAAGGGATAGTGACTTGACTAGCAGATAGTTCAAAGTTACTGAGGGTCTAAGTTTGAGTTATGGTTAGGTGACCTGTTAGAGGGTATTACATATAGAATGACCAAAATCACAGAAGAGGGAGAAGCCTGCAGGAAGAACAACATATATTGATAGGAAAATATCAAGTGGAACATGGCATTTTGATGGGGTTCCAAGTACACACATAGACAGAGTCAGTGCAGGTAAGGCTACAGTGCCCACAGCCAAAATTTTATGAGAAGTAAAATGGTAGTCTAATATCATCTGCAACAAAACTAATACCCTGGTTAAGATAGCATCAGAGAATGAAAACAAGCTGTATTGGACATAGATGGCCAAGTTCTCTACTAGCTGCAAGCTGAAAATAAACATAAAACTAAAGCTATGTATAAATTCAAGACCAATCATTTTAACAAACTTCTGCAATAAAAGGGAATCATGACATGTCACACATGTCATGTGTCCTTAAGGGGATAATAACACACGTTGTTATTACTACGAATGTAACACTTCTATAATATTATAAACAAAATACAAAAGAGAATATTTTTGAGTATCAGAAAATTTTTAGTGGCAGTGTTTCCTTCTAAGAAAATGGGAGACTACACTTCAACTTGTTAGGCTTAGTTCATTCTCCCTGATAATTCACTAGAGATCATAATTTATGGACATTTGAAGCTACAGAAATATCTCTTAGAAGGAAGATCCATAGCAACAATTCTTTAGGGGAAAATTAATCCCCAGCTTTATGTAGTGCTAAGTGCACAATAGTAATCAGAGGTTGAGTAGACGCTGCTAATCATTGAGGGAAAAGACTGTACAAAGAATTCATAATGGAATTAGCCTCAGGCAAACAAAGACAGACAAAATTAAATCAGCCATCAAATTGCACCAAGGAATTTTAATTTACAGGTTAATGTAAGATTATGTAACTAATCACTGCTAACATTTTCAGTGTACGACCAAAAGATTCTTTTTTTTTTTTTAATGCAATCTTTTTAATTGTATTTCGATAGCATATTTTTTGGCAGCCAATAAAAGTGTTAAGATACAACACTGCAAATTGTAAAACAACTGAACAAATCAATGCAAAATGGTTAGAAGCAATTAATTAGCATAAAATTCATATTGCTGGTCTGCTCTGAAATAAAACGCCGTAAAGAAAAAAAAGTTTATTTGTGTCTAAATGACTATAATTATTGTTGCAAGATGTCCATGTTTGAGGCTTAAAAGGAATGTTTATATCTCTTCGTACGAGTAAATTGCATTAAATAAGCAAGAACACGTTTAAATCCATTCTGTGTTTGGGTTTTTAGCATTTAGGGAAAAAAATGATTTGGTTTGCTCTGAAACACACAAAAGACAGAATGATTCAATCCATGTTTTTAATTGCAAATGTCATAAAATTAAAGAGTATCAGAGAGAACAGATTAGCATCTTGCGAAATGAACAAATGTCATTTATTTAGGTTTGTTGCAGATCAAATTAAAGGAAAAGAAGGAGATATTTTTAGAAGTAAAAACACAAGACGTTAAATATAAATAAAAATATAAAAGAGCAACTTAATTTTTAACAGATTTGCAAGCGAAATTCTCACAATTAAAGCATCTTAGTAAAGACATCAGTTTAATCAAAAATATATTTTTATAACAAAAACAAAGCCAACGTCTTATTAAATGAGAGAAAACGCGTGTTTATGTGTATTACTTCATATATTAAGAATGCGAAGATGACAGTAAATTTCAGGCCTTTTGCATGTGTTTCCTTTGGACCAAACAATGGCGCAAAGCCTAATTTAATTTCAATTGCAATACTCATTTTATGTGCACAGGAACCTTATGCTTAATTGTTAACAGTTGAATTTCTTAGTTCTGACAGACTCATTTTAAAACGCACCTTCCAAAAAACATTATGGTGTCAAATGCACTACCCTTCAGCAATTCTGTAATAACTTTGTTCAACCATTTCAAATTATAATTATATTTTCAATTCCTTTTAGCTATAGAAATTCTTTATCAATCAGAGCACAAGACAGAAAATTACTTTATTACAGCTACAGCTCGTTAGTCTGAGTGCTCTTAATGAAGCAGTCTCATAATCAGATGAAAATCACGCTGAAGAAACTTGCATCATTAGTCTGGGCCTTAATTACCAAGAAATATAGTTGCTAACAATGATATTCCATTCCATGATACGGTGCATGCACCTTCAACATTAGTTGCAATTAATATTTCCACATACTGCCACGGATTCTTTCTATTTATTCATAACAATGTAGTGGAAAAATTCCATATTTAATTGAGCAGTTCAGATTGCACTTTCCTTGCGATTAAAATGTCAAAAGGTTAATATTCTCCCTTACAATAATTCATCATCTTAATTATGCATTTTACGTCCTAGAAGTGTGTTATTTTAAAAAAAATTTCTTGGGGTTCAAATAATGCTAGCTTACTCTGTATTGACCCCTGTTGTAACCCACAAAGACAGGACCACAGCCTTCACAACATCTTAAATCATTAAGGTCAAACTCAAAATTTGTGGTTGTCAAAAATCCTGCTAGAGAATTAGAATTGCTTAATTAGCCAAACAGTTAACTTATTGTAATGTTAAGTAAGGAGCTAAGTATCCTCCAGAATCACAGTAGGTATATGGCCTGAGACTAAAGAAGTTTAACACCTGGCTCTCACCTAGCTATATGTTAGTCTTTCACGTGGACAGTGGTTTGAAATTGTTCGTTTCTTAAAAAGTTTGTCAAAAAGCTATAGTGTGACTTATGTGACTGATATGAAAGTGGGTCTTTAGAATACACAACATCTGGGTACACCCGTGGTTTCCTCATAAGGCAATCTTTATTGAAGTAGCACAGAAAACAGACAACATTTTGGCACTCTTATGTGCCTTTGTCAAGTGTCAAAACTTTGTCAGTTTTCTGTGCACCTTCAATAAAGACTGCCTTATGAGGAAACCACGGGTGTGTCCAGATGTTGTTTATTCTGAAGATTGACTTCACTTGGGAATTGGCCTTCTCTGTTTGGAAGCACCCTAGTGGAAGTACCCTCAACAGTTTGTGCATTACTTCTTTCTCTCAAAATGGTTTGAAATCTGGAAAAATAAAAGTTATAACAAATGGTTTAGTTACTGTGACGAAGTGCCCTTTGCCACTTGAGCCTGGAGAGGACTAATGGCTAACCTCTTACCTGCTGACTATTGTCCCTGTGTTAAACTCTGCTCCAGGACTGGGGAAAAACTGTTGTTCGTATGTTTTCCCTGCCCTGCTTCAGTGAATGGAGTCTGTCGAAGGGATTACACTAATGTGGTTCGTTTTACAGAAAAAACTGTTGAACGACCGACCACCCTGCCTGTGGAGTGTGATGCCTGTTATCCACCCTGCAGCTTAACTGTCGAATGCCTGGGTGGCCGGCGTTCGTATGAACGAACACGTGGCGGCGGCCATTTTTTAATGCCTGGGTGGCCGGCGTTCGTATGAATGAACACGTGGCAGCGGCCATTTTGATTAGCCAAACGCGCTCAGCAGTGTTTGGTCGTCGAACTCCTGGAACTGTTTTTGGCTACTAGTTTCATGAACACCGCTGAGCCTTCTATCTTCCGTGCGTTCGGCTAAAATCATACAAACTGAGCGCTAATTTCAGCGAATAAACTGTCGAATGAACTGATTACAATGAAAGTATGCACGAACCGATCTGTTCGTGCAAAGTGTACTTTATTTGAAGGAGAATATAGATCGACCGCACAGCCTAACTCTATGGAACTCTTTTGGGCAGGAAAGCCATGCTTGTGATTCGGGTGATTTTTTAATATGTTTGTCCCCTAGTTATGCTTGTTATTATTTGAATGTGATGTGTAATTTTGAAGTTATAAGAATTGTATAAAAACTGTATATTTTCCTGCCTGTGATAATTATGTTAGCCCATTGTGTTCAGCAATTATATCACAGGCAGAGGGTAGGATTTTGCTGTAATGAATGGGAGTGTTTAACTGTATTGTACCTGTTTGATTGGCTTGTCCACAAGACCATGTGGGTGGTAGCTTGTGTGTAAAACTTGCATAAAAGAAAGCCCTTTGGTGCTTAATAAACAGACCTGCTTGACCCTTTCTTGAAGCCTTGGCTCATGCTTGGGGGATGGGATAACTACACTCTGGGGATTGCTATAATCACACTATACTCCCCAGGGTAAGCTCTTGCAAGAGCTGTTCTTGTTCCTGCTACGCTCTCTGGAGGAAGAGAGGTCTGCCCACTGGAAGCTGGATCTTGGCCTTGGGTCCAGGGTGGGTGAAGGACGGCGAGACCCCGGCGCAGCGGCTTCGCTGGAAGTGTGGTCTGCAGTGCTGATGGTGTTGGTTGGAGTGCTTGGAGTCCTAGGTATTCAGTCGGAGTGCCAGCGTTTCGTCACAGGTACCATTTTAAACATGCATAGAAATAGCCAATACTTGGTTGTAGCTGGTATAGACATTTGTGCTCAAGGTTATTAAGGTGAATTTTAATAACCTTGTTTTATTCCCCCTTTCTATATAAGTAAGGAGTCATGTAAGTTTTTAGTACTGCATGTTTTGTTTCAATTAAAATAGGCAATTAGAAATTAATCAAAACGAAAGACAATTCTATCAGTAAATCCAGACAAATTCATAGAAGCAAATCCTTATATCTATGGGTTTATTTAAACAGTAGAGAACATGGTAGAAAACAGACCTTGTATATGAAAATGGACCAGGTGAAAAAAAAAAAATACAAAAAAGAAAATATGTAAATTGTGAATAAACTCATATCCATACATCTATATTAAGGGGGGGGAGGGGGGAGAAAAAAACAAAATACAAAAACTTAAAGAACACTATAACTTTCAAAGCAGTAACAGAATCCAAAACTACTAAGCAAAAATATATATTGGTAGAAAGTAGATCTTCCAGAGTAGTAACTAAGGGCATTTGACATTTTTCATTCAACCAATTTAGCATCAACCTCTGCCAAAACGATTAGTTATATTTATAATAGTTGTATTATTTCTTTTTGTTTTTCATATACATTTCATTTTCATGTGGAATTTTACATGCCATGTTGTTCCACTATTGTATATACAACCTATTTGCAGTCAGATTTTTGAGAAGTTATATGATATACAAATCTGACAATTTCAGCTTTCAAAATTTCCAATTTTCACAAATTGATACTGAGATGTATCCAGTACTAGAAACAAGGCAAGACTAGAACAGGCACCAAACAAGAAAATAAGACAAGACTAGAAGAACCCAGAACCGGAGCAGGACAGAAAGCAGAACCCAGAACATCTACACAATACATAAGGGAAACATGGACAGGGCAGAACAGGACTGTACATGAACTGGGCATACAAGACAAAATAAAACATGACAAGAGATACAAGGCAAAACAAGAGGTGATATAACGAAGTACAATAAAAATTGGAGCGTTAGACATACATAAATGGCCAAGATGTATGCACCCGCCACTGTGCCAAAGTACTCCAAGTATGGTGGTTCCTAACTGCCTGCTATGCATGACTAAATAAACAACAATAAAACACACACAGCACTTACCTGCAAAAACAGGAGCAGAGGAAATGAAACCACTGCTTGCAGGAACAGACTGAAACAAAAAGGATAAATTGGCAAAGGAACGGTGTGGCAACAAAAAACAAACATTTAAAGCAATCCATGAGACGGGGAATTCCAGGAACGGAATAAAGGAATAAACCCAGAAAACCCAGCATAAAGAAAACCAGATATAGAATAGAAAACCAGATAAACCAAGAAAAATTAAACAAGAATTGTAAACAGAGTACTGGATATCAGAAGCCAAAACAGAAATGATCCGCAACATGAGCAGGATGTGACATCCTAACCCTATATAACCCTAAAACTAACTTTGATCCTATCTATCCTTAACCCTAGCTAATTCTTATCCTATGTAACCCTAACCCTTGCTAACTCTAACTAACACTAACCCTGATTGTTCCTTCAGATTCAGTGTTCGCTTTGAGATATAATCACAGTGATCACATTTACTTGCTAAGTCAAGATCCTTAGACACAAAGTATATAAACAAATTGAAAGGTTAACACATGTCTGCTTTAACACAATGTACATGGGACACATGTCAGCAAACAAACATAAAAAAAAACAAATATTACTAAAAGGGAGAAAATCTAAATCTTCTAAGAACTAGTCCCATAGTTGTTGCTTGTCTTTCTTTCAGTGTCCCACAGGAGTTTGGCAATACTTTTTTAAATGATTAGCCACAATAATAACAATAATAACCTGTATGGACAATCAAAAGGAGCTGTTAACATGTCTTGTGCTAATAAGAGCCCTTCCTCAAATACGATGTGAGATATACACCCTTTACATGCCTGTTAAAGAAAATGGTATCCCAATGACTGCTACATTCTGAAAACAGTCCAAGACTTAATACACCGTTACCATTTCAATACCCGTGTAACAGAATCTATAAATTAATCCAATATGTTATAGGTCAATTAGCTAAAGGCTAAATAATAATGTTAATCAAAGTTAACTAGTGAGATGAATAACATGAAACAGATTGTATTCAATTGAAAACAGAGGAAATTTGTACAAGATAAAGTGGTTTATGAAAATAACATGGCCAATGCCTGGCATAAACAAACAACTGAATGTTGTGATATATTCAAAAGATCTGGCTAGAACTTAAAACTGAATAAATCTTTTTTGAAGATGAAAGGGCAAAACGGAATAATTTTTTGAGCAACGACATGGATACATATGATATTGATAGGATGTTTCCCTTTGTAGTACTTCTACTACAATAATGGACAATGGGTTTCGGAACTACTTTTTAGTACCGTATCAGTAAGAACCCAGTAAGTAGGAGAAGTGGACCTTTTAGATGACCTCAGCTGGAAAAAGAGACGTAAATGCATATACCGTCAGAAGATAAAGATTAAATATTGCAAGGATCATGGTTCATTCAAGGGGCAACATCTAATACTTAAGAAGGCTCTATAACTTCTGCGTACTTCATGAAGATGTTATTTTATTAAATACACATACTGACTGCATTGGAATTTCTTTGAAATTTCAGTGTAATCCAAATATGTAATAAGACAAAGCAGGGACTATTTTATCTTATGGTAAAGTGATAAGATGACAAAACCTGACAAAAGACTGAGCTTCTGCCTTTTGTAAAGTTTTGTCAATTCCCAAAGCCTTCGCTAGCAATGGCTGTGAGGAAAAGGTTTCTTCTCAAGTATCATGAGATATGTTCCATGGAGGACCACATGGTTCTATTGTTAGTTCTTTTTTTAATCTTTATTTATTGAGAGATTTAGATACATAACATAATATAAGAACATAGAATAAAGTAAGAGTAAATTCAGAATGGCAGACATAACTGCATTTAGGGCACGCCAGCTACAATTGGAATGTGCAAAAAATGACAATTAGAGACCAGCAAATTCAACCATGGCTAAAATCTGTGCATCTCCCTCCTGGGTGGCACATCCACCATGAAAAGGAGAGATGGGAGGGAAAAGAAAGAGATGAAGATAAAAGCAGGAAAGTAGTCAGAAGAATTAGAAGAGTAAGAAAAAAAAGGAAAAGATATAACTTCCTCTAGGGCACACCTCCAACATTGGTTAGAGCGGCCCGTGAAGATTTTGTGCAGTTTAGATGAGGTTCTACACAAACTAATCAATATTTTAGCATTTAGCTCTTAGAATCTTGAATACATGGTGCTCTGGTGAGCAGAGGTAGTTTTTCATTCAGTAAAAGTTGCTGATTTAGATGAGAAGTGAAGGACCTAAGAACTCTGCTGAATAAATGGTGCTAGGAATGGGGAAAAAATCCACAGCATTGCTCTGGGATCAATGCCTCCAAGTGTTTCATCAAATGTTCATCATATGAATAGGCTCGTTTATCCGTTAAGTTGCAAATCTCATCTCTTGATGTCCAGCTGGAATCACTTGATCAACATATTTATTTTTGTGCATT